AAAAATACTATGTATTTTGCTTTTAAAGAGGAAGGGACTCACTTTGTTTTTCGTGTCAGTAGGAGTGACCTCTGGGATTGCTGGAGCAGATGCGGCTTCATCCAAGTAGGAATTGTCTTCATCAGCTAAAAGCTCATCACCTAACGCATCCAGTTCTGAAATTTAATTATGTTGGTTGAAACATTATGCAAGGAATTCCTTTTACAAAAGAAAAGTTGCTCTAACAGAGGAAGAGGATTCATACTGAACGCTTGCATTCATACTCATTTACCCTTACTTAGTCATCAGTCGGGAACAGACACACACACACGTGCTAGAGAAGAGAAACTTCTTTCCTCCATCGCAGCATTACATTAGCGTATGTCTCATGTTTGTCTCATACTCTTGTTACTGCTCTTAAAGGAAATGCAGCTTTTATGTTTAAGAAAATTATTAAAACCTTTCTTTTTTTAAAAAACACGAAGTATTTGACTAATGAAATTAAAAATCACCGTATGACAGTAATGTAAAAACCCTCCTCCACCTTCCTAACCTGCTTCCAAGTCATCTTCATCAATCTCTGGCGTTCCATAGCTACGACTCAGCGCCTCCTGGACTTCATTGGCTTCTTCCATCATATCCTCTAACTGATCTTGTATGTCCTGAAGTGAGGAACAATTTCAACTGGTCCGTATTTAATAGTTTTAGTTAAATTTATCAGAGCTTAATCAAATTCAGTTTAATAATTCCAACATACAAGGCACTCAATTTTTTTAATGCACAAACCATTTTTTGAAGCAGCATTAATACAAGCTAAGACACATGCATTCAGTGGTATAGTGTGGCCTTAAGTACTATTAAAATTATAATAAATGTATGAGGTAGAAAAAGAGGAACCTTGAAACATCTCTGCAAAAATCATTTTGTTTTAAGTATTCTTCAGCGTAAAATGAAAACCTCTAATAAATTACCCAGACTTCAGCATTATCTTGAAAAGCAGGAGTGTGTGAAATCTGGAGAAATTAAACCTACCGTTTGGAGAATAAGGACTAATCTGCGTTGTGCCATGGCAAAATTTAGAAGACACTTTAGCATACCTATTGGCACTGTACTTGGGCACAAATAAGGAGACAATACTTGCCTTAAGGTTTACAATGCAGGCCATATATAAAAACAGCATAGGAAAGAGAACTTAAAGGAATTCAGCACTGGCATTTGATAAGCATTTAAGTGCAGCACTTTATATTTAGAGATCTTACGGTTTTGTTTTTTTTAACGCATTTTCTGAAGACAAGGCCAGGCCTTGCAGACCTCTTGAAGGTCTTGTTTGGGTTTTTTTTGGGGGGGAAGGAAAGGGGGGGAGGAGGGGAGGTTGGTTGCTTTTGTTTGGTTTGTTGTTTTGTTTTTTTTTTTAATTCAGGAACTACCTTGAACTGGGGGAGCAAAAGACTAATCTGCATGTTGCTAACATGGAGGGGGGGGAAGGACACAAAAGACACAGCAGGGAGTATTCACCCACATTTATGCTGAAGTGCAGAGGAAAAGAAGGTAGAGATTAAAAATTAGCCCATCAAGAAAACAACAGTCTGTGCAATAAGGCCAACAACTGATTGTGCAGTACCAGAGAAGTCAGGAAGGAATGATGATGGTGGTCCCATAAAAAAGGGAGGCAAACTCGTATGAACTAAGAAAGTCAGCTTACCTTCAAGTTACAGAGTCCATCACTATTTCAGTACACGGTTTCAGTTCTTTAATAATTTAAAATATAGAAGCTCACCTCAATTTGATCAATTTTGACTTGCTTGTAAGCTTTCTTCATTTCTTTCACCCCCAGTTTCATTGCATCAACCTAGAATAGAGTCAGACAACATGCTTGTATCCGATGTAGCATACACAAATTAAACAAATGTAAGGTTAATATACTGGTACCGTTGTCTTTGTATCCTTCAGTGCCTGAATAGTGTAATTAGCTTGTTCCATATTAAAAGACTGCTGTGATAGATTATCCCTCTGTTGTTCATACCTGTTAAAAACAAAGCAAGTAATGGCTTTAAAACACCATGCTATTTACTGCCACAAGAACTCTTTAATTTTTTGAAAAATTGAAAAATCAGCAACAGTAGTCTAAAGATAGGAACAGGTTGGTTTTTTGGTGTTTTTTTTTAATTTCTGACAAACAATCACAGAATAAACAGCTTCATAAAAATCTGGCCATTACAAACCTGTGTATTTAAAGTCAACAAAGCTGCTCCTGAACTAAACTCATTTTAACTGATGGCAATACCGTATTTGTATAGGCTCACACAGTAGGTGAGGATACAGCAAAAGTTTTAATCGCTATGAGCCAGAGATGCATGCTGCTTCTTACTCATGCTGTAAGCAGAACGGAAGAGATGCAGGTTATCCAAACCACAATGGCTCTGCACTGACGGATATGACAGCCTATTATGAGGGGCCCAGTGACTGTAACTAGGGGAACAACTATCAAGATTAGCAGGCAGCATAGTCAAAAAAAGAAAAACAAACAAACAAACCCAAAAGCCCAAACCAAGCAGCCTTTCTCACAACAACTAACTAAACTACTGTGTTCCTTACAATAGGGTATTTTGGATGGTAAGGATTTACAAAGACTTAACAAGTGATTGACCAAGTCGGTAGAGGTACAATTCATCTGAGGGATACGAAATACAAGACGATATGAGCTTTGGCTCAGATAGCATCTAAGAGGTTTGCAGTTCAGGGACTATAAAATATTCCAGGGAAGCATCCCTGAACACTTGTCATGTTCTGACGTTCTTTTCTTTGCATTTGTTTCTGGATGCTCTTCAAGACAGCATACTAGGCTAGACCAGACCCCGGGATTGTCTATTCTGTGCATTCTGGGTTTTTTTGCATAGACAACTACCTGCATTACACGTGCTCAAGTCCTAAAGGGTATCCACAGAGAACAGGTAAACTTCCAGTAAACTTACAATTTTACAGTTGTAAATTACACTTCATAGTCATCAATCAATTTACAAAATTAATTTACAAAATTACAATTTATAGTCATCAAGGAATAATATAAAATGAGGTACACTCTCACAAAGTTCAGGAGCCAAGCATAGCGTTAATAATGAGCAGATTTAGGTCAGCCTGTCCCAATCCAAATTTATATACTCACATGCAAATAAGGCATAAATATGCTGATGTAAAATCTGTAAGGAGATGCTTCTGAAAGGCTGGCTAGCTTGTTCAGCATTTTTCTTTAAAGAATGCTCAGAAGCAAGCGTACTGGAAAGAGAAATGAAAGTGTGCCACCCCCCTTAAAGAAAACAGGCTTTCATTAGTCTCAAACTGAGAAAGGTTTAAACTTACATTCGCTTCTGCTTTAACACTCTCAATGCTTTCTGCTTTACTGTATTCTGAAAGACACAATATTGTTACATTAAGAAAAATACTCAACTTTACTTTTGATTATACTGTTAAACCTAATGTATCGCATTTAAGGTTTCTAAAAGATTCCTCAGTTACTAGTGCAAAGAGTTTAACAAGACACATTCAGCGTTTGCCCTGCATTAATAATTAACCAAATAGGCTTGTATGTAAAGCTTCTAATAGAAAATACTTTCAAAATTCGTGGCTTTTGAATTTTTTTTTTTTTTTTTAATCAGAATACAAAGTCAAACTCAGTCCATCAGAACCATCTTTCATCAACACATTTCAATGGTCAGCATCAAATAATACTGCAAAAGGTACTTTAACAATACTGTTTATATTAGTTATGTTTATTATTAGATACATTTTATATGTTCATCACCTTTCAAAAATGGGGTTTCCTACTCCCTTTCTGCACAGTGCAGACCTTTTTATTTTAGCTGATGAACAAAACAGCCTCTTTACCAGACTTAATTCAGGTAACAGAAGGAAGAAGGGAAGCAAGTTACTTCTGATTGAGGAATTACATTACACTTTGAAAGAAATAAAACCCAATGGAAACACTGTTCAAAGATGCATGTCTAAGAGATGCTTCTGAATAAAAATAATCCTGCAGGATCTTGTATCTCATCAGTATTGCAAGATGCAATTCTAAGAACCTGACAAACTGGCTAAATCACCCCACTACATGGGAAGAAGCGTGAGCCACATCTTCTCACGCTTACACCCCACAGAAGATTCTTACCTTTGCAGGCCCCTCTCTCATCTTCTTCATTTGATCCTTATACTTCACTAGTTCTGCATCAAGCCTAGCGATTTTCTTGTCAATTGACTCGGCTCTGCTGTCCACCTTTAATACGAGGGGGAAAACAAAAAAAACGTTCACTAAGGTTTTATTCAGGTATTGGACAATACAAAGAACAGCCTCAGTTTTACTGTGCTTCTAACTGAACCGTTTCTTCACTCAGTGGTTTTATAAACAGTTTAAAGTTTGTAGAGAACCCGAAACCAGAATCAAGTGAAACACCTTCTACAAGGAGCACAAGAAACATTCTGAGCTTGCAGGAAGCTCTGCCATCGTAACATGTTCTCATCATTTTGAGACACTCCCTTGCACAACCACTCAAGTCACACCTCTGTTCAGGAATTTCGGATAATGTACAGTGCCAGGGACTAAACTGGGACAGAAAAAGAAAAGCCTAAGTGTAGCATGCTCAGGGATGTGTTCAGCAAGGCTAGAGGTTTATTTTTGGTGGGCAGAGAACATTAATCCTTCAGAATACCTGGATTACTGGTTATGTTTCAGAGGCCCAGCCTTAACCATTTTTTCAAAGGTGCCCAACTTCTTTGTCAGAGAGACACTTTTCCCATCGCTTCCCGCAAAGGGAGCCAGGACACAGCAGTTCCACCTGGCAGCAACTCTGAATTCTCACTGCACTTTTGCTCCAAACCCCAATAGTAGCTGCAGAGCTCAGTTAGAGACCTCCAGCAGTCAACCCGAACAGCCCCGGTGCAAAGCGTATCACAGAGTTGTCGTTAGGGAAATATTTTAACCCTTCTGCATAAGAGGGTTAAAGATGATAATTACGTAACCAAGCACAGGTATAGGTCATTCTAACAGCGTACACAAATTCATTAAAAACCAAAGAAAGCCTCCTTAACCGACTGAACCGACTAGCACAGCGTTTCTCTGGAAACAACAAAATAAAGCTTATTAACTTCTCATTCCAAGGAACCCCTCTAGGGATTAGAATATAATGACACTCCAATTATAGTGTGAGACCAATCAGTGCAAATTTTTACAATTCTGACTTCATAACGGTGTGGCTAAACATGTATAATTATGCAGACTTTCTTTTTGGTGTCTTGGTGGTCCTTTTAAATCTCTGCTATATGACAGCAACACGCACTCGCCAGAGGCATCCTGAGTTCATTTGCTATGAACACTCCACATGAGACATTGAAGTGCCTGGGCACAGCTGGCACTGACAAAATTGCATTAAGCTTTTATTATGCCAAATATTTTATTAGTAGCAAGAGAGAGATATATTTGCAATTTCAAAACTCTTGCAGGTTCAAAGTGTAGCACCTCCTCAAGATCTCCATCAGCTAAAAGCTTCTCTGAGGTCAGCCTCCTTCACAGTGGCACCCCAGTTATTTAATTTCTTTATATGATTCTTTTAGGCAGTACTAGCAGGAAATGGAGACAGATCCTCCCGCATCGATTAACTACATAAAAAATTTCACACATACATTACACAGGACCTCAGCTTTTAAAAATGAGAATGGATAGACGAGGGGAGATTGGGCCTAATTTATCTAAAAGCAAACTAGACTGTGTATTAGGACTTGAAGAGCTGCTTTCTATTATTCACAAATAAGGCATACTGAGGTACATTTCATTGCTACAGAAGGGCTCCAATCTAAACAAAAGAAAGTGATGGTGCTATCCCAAATACCTATTAAGCAGAATTGCAGCTTATTTCAATTAAAAAAAAAAAAAAAAAAAAAAAAAAAAAATCACATATAAGACTGAATTTTACATTGTTGTCACAACTATTAGCCTTTTGTTCATATCTTTTCTACTTACTACTCTGAAAAACCATAAATTTGGAGTGTTTTTTCAAAGAAGAAAAATAAAAGCAACACCAGTGCCACAGTTCCCAACACATCCTTCCTCCCACCAGCCTCATGACAGCTTTGAGTCATCTGACTGTACCCAGCCAGCAATGATAGAAAAAGTCTGCCACTTAGTGCAACGTTGAGGCAAGCACGGCAGGCATGGCAAGAGAGCAAGCAGGAACCGCGAGGGAGAGTGGAAGATGCCCACGCGGAGTTAAGTGGGGAGACAGGAGGGCATCACACTGCCAGCTGGCCAACTGATAGTAACCAGCCATCCAAGAAAAGTAGGGAGAAGCGTTTCCTGGGTTTCAGCAAACACCTCAGATTAGTGATCCACAGAACCAGCTCTTTAAAAGCAAGAATTTTGAATTGTTTAGGTATCTTAAAGTGACACTTGTTCTCTTACCACAGGGGGAAAAAAAAAAGCATATCGCGTGCTGATCTTACTGGGTTCAATCATACTACTTCTTGCACAGAGAGGAAACAACATCCAAAGCATATGCACAATTACTGACGGAAAGTTGTCTACATTTTTAACGAATGCTAACTACAAACATTAATTTTTGCTTACCAAATACAGCAATTCCTAACTGCCGTTTAATGGCTAATTACCACGAAGTAACACAATACGAGATTTTACAAAGCAATTTGACTCTTTCAAAAGGTACAACGAAATGTGTCTACGATTGAAAACAACATAGAAGTGGTATTACTTGAGTCTCTGAACTGTTGAATTTTAACATGCGAAAGAGACAGTGCAAGTTTTTTAAGATCTCACACAATTCTCTTCAACATTAATTTACATGCAATTTAAGGAAAAAAAAAAATCTAATGATATCTCTAACCCTTTAGCAGGACCTGTACTAGAGACTTCACTATTGTGAAAATGACCTGAAGACACAGCAAGTCTTTCACAGATCAGATAGGTAGATTACTTCATGTAAATTGGCACAAAAAGTTAATTCATAAACTTCAAACTTGTAAAAGGAAGCGTGTTTCTTCCCACACTTACTAGTATACAGAATTGTCTTAAACTGTAGTTCCATCTGCAGAAATTTAAAGTTGTCAAAACAGGGCAAAGAGCTAACATGGAGCTCAGGAATGATAACAGCAGTTTATAGACTTCCTCATACCAAAGAGCTGTGCTTAGAGCCAGCCCTTCATTTGTCAACAACACAGGCTCTTGATTTTCTGTCTTAAAAACCACCCTATGGAACTGCCAAAATCAGCCATCAAAAATCTAACTTACTGATACGGAGTTGGTTGCTGCGAGGAAGAGATTTCCTGATCTTCTGCTTAAGAGCGCTGAAGTGGCAAATTTAAGTCGTAATAACAGTATCTCAGGTGGATTTTGGAATTCTAGCCATCCACCAAAGCATTCACCAGTAACAATGGGAAAGCTCATCCTGATTTTTGAGCGTATGCTTTATTTAGTGTTCTAACTAAATGCACTTGGACCTATGTTTGCATTCAATACTGCTAAAAAGCAATGCACATTCCTTGCCAATAAGATAACACACTGGGGAAAATACTAACTATGACCACTTCTCTCCTCATCCCAGCCACCGGCATATGCAAGAGACACATGCTCATGGGTTTGCGTAGGTAGCACTGACAAATGTTAGGTATTTAACTTAAAGAGTGTCTTCACTAGGTAGCAAAATACATCTTCTGGGAGAAAAATGGTGATTTCCCACAGAAACTTTTTGTTGTCAGGTTCCAGGGACAACACTGAGTTAGCCTTAGTTAACCTCCATTTATACCACAACCATTACTGACCTTTCACCTGACTTTGCTAACCACTCAGAAAAATACTCGAGACCTCTGCATTCCTTCTTCGACCTTTTAAGACTAGTTTACAAGAGAAGGAGCCCTAAAAACATACCACGGTTTTCTTCACGAACTTCAAAGCCAAAAAAAAAGACTACGAAATGACAAGATTAGCCTCCTTAAAACTTTTCCTTAACCTTCTTTTCAGACAGGCCAATCTTACAACAGCTGTGAAGTGTTCTACCACATGTTTCCTCCTCAGCATTTCTTTCTTGGCCTGGGCTTGTTTAGCTGTCCACCTGCACACATCTCGCCATCGACCCCACGGCAAGCTCATCTGTCATAGAAGGAACCATCTTTATCAGAAGGTGAGATTTGCCTTCCCACCTTCTGTGCTGGACAGAAGGGATGGTTCCCTTGCTCCTGCCCTGCCTTCCCACCACCCGGCAGGGCAGGAGTTAGCCAGTGCAATCAGAGCGGTGAAGTCATCGGGGGGAAACGCGGAAAATATCCTTCAAGGCGTAAGGAGCGCCAGGCCTTACCTGCACATTGTGTGCATCCACTTACGGGATGTGCTCCTATGCACAGGGATAAAACATAGGCACGGGCATATATATGCATGTATACATACACAAATGTATGTACCGGTGTACATGTATGCTCCAGGTGCGCACTAGAATGCACGCCTGCATATACACAAACACGCTGCACCACAGCATAGGCACGCAGCTATGCATATGCCGGTACGTGTGTGTCAGCTGTGAAGTGTTCTACCACATGTTTCCTCCTCAGCATTTCTTTCTTGGCCTGGGCTTGTTTAGCTGTCCACCTGCACACATCTCGCCATCGACCCCACGGCAAGCTCATCTGTCATAGAAGGAACCATCTTTATCAGAAGGTGAGATTTGCCTTCCCACCTTCTGTGCTGGACAGAAGGGATGGTTCCCTTGCTCCTGCCCTGCCTTCCCACCACCCGGCAGGGCAGGAGTTAGCCAGTGCAATCAGAGCGGTGAAGTCATCGGGGGGAAACGCGGAAAATATCCTTCAAGGCGTAAGGAGCGCCAGGCCTTACCTGCACATTGTGTGCATCCACTTACGGGATGTGCTCCTATGCACAGGGATAAAACATAGGCACGGGCATATATATGCATGTATACATACACAAATGTATGTACCGGTGTACATGTATGCTCCAGGTGCGCACTAGAATGCACGCCTGCATATACACAAACACGCTGCACCACAGCATAGGCACGCAGCTATGCATATGCCGGTACGTGTGTGTGTATATATATATATATATACACACACACACGCACACAGGCACGCAGACAGACGCCGGCACCGTGCCCACGCC